AGGATTTCTCCTGTAAGCCAGTCCGGTCTCCTACCATGTTTGCCTCTCTTGCTACGCGTCGGGATGGTTTCTTTCTGTGCCTTCAATAAGGCTTCTTTAAAATACTGCCAGCTGTCCTGGACTCCTTTCCCCTTCATGTTAACATCCCAGGGGATTCTGCCCATCAGATCTCGGAGGGAGTCAAAATCTGCTTTTTTGAAGTCCAAGGTGTGTATTTTACTACTCTCTTTTCTTCCTTTGGTCAGGATCCTGAAATCTACCATCTCATGATCACTGCTTCCCAGGTTGTCACCCACCTCCACTTCCCCTATTAGTTCCTCCCTGTTTGCGAGCAGAAGGTCAAGCTGCGCACGGCCCCTGGTCGGATCCTTCAGCACTTGTGTCAAGAAGTTATCCCCAACATTCTCCAAAAACTTCCTGGATTGCCTGTGTACTGCCGTATAGGTTTCCCAGCAGATGTCAGGGTGATTAAAGTCTCCCACGAGAACCAGGGCCTGCGATCTGGAAGCTTCACTCAGTTGTCCGAAGAAAGCCTCATCTACCTCATCCAACTGATTCGGTGGCCTGTAGCAGACACCAACCACAACATCACTGCTGTTGTTTGCTCCTTTAAACTTAACCCATAGACTCTCAACAGGTTTTTCTCCCTCTTTATACTGGAGTTCAGAGCAATCGTAGTGCTCTCTTACATATAGTGCAACTCCTCCTCCTTTTCTCCCCTGCCTGTTGTTCCTGAACAGTCTATACCCTTCCATGACAGCGCTCCAGTCATGCGAGTCATCCCACCAAGTCTCTGTTATCCCAATTAAATCATATTTCTTGGTCTGGGCCAGGGCCTCCAGTTCTTCCTGTTTGTTGCCCAGGCTTCTCGCATTAGTGTACAAACACTTCAGGTAACCAGTTGATCATCTTATCTTCTCCATTCGAAACATGGGTCCTCCTTTCTTGCCCCTTCCTCTCTGCATTTCTTCCCAGTATCCGACTTTCCCACTCCCCTCAGGGTTTTGGTCACCGTCCCCCAACGAACCTAGTTTAAAGCCCTCCTCACTAGGTTTGCAAGCCTGCCCGCGAAGATGCTCCTTCCTCTCTTCGTTAGGTGGATCCCATCTCTTCCTAACAATCCTTGCGCCCGGAACAGAGTCCCATGGTTGAAGAAACCAAAGCCCTCTCTGCGACACCACCTGCGCAACCACGCATTTACGTCCTCAATTTTAATGGGAGTAGGGAAGTTATTCAACACTAATTAGGGAAAATGCTGCAAGCAATATTCATAATTATCAAACTGAACAGGACAGCCATCCCAGAGTGCACTGTTCTTAAACTTGAAAGGCAAATGTTCCTTTTCTATGCCCGTTCTGCTCCCTCGCCATACACCACTAACAGTAGTTATCCTTAGTCAGAAAAGCTCAGGGTTCAGAGGCACATCAGGGAAAAAGGCACCTTGTTTCCTCTGCCATCCTAACACTTGCTTTGGTTGGCTGCCCTGCCAGTTGCTGCTCTTCTGTCTTACCAACCACTCGTTCACCAATTGACTGATGAGGACTTGTGATGAAAGCACAGCATTGGAACTCAGTATGACCTGGGTAAAATCCTGACTTAATTGAAATCAGTAGCATAACCAGACTCAAAGCCAGGGTTTCACCACTGGATTCTGTTCGTAGCTCTTCCCCTGACTTCCTGAGTCTCTAGGCAAGGCACTTAACCTCTCTGTGCCTTAATGTTCTCATCAGTTAAATGGATTCAACAACCATTGCACAGATCTGAAGGAGAAGGTGAGGCTTAACTAACAAATGTTTGAAAAGCACTTCAAGATTCTGAGGCAGAAGGTGCTAGACAAGTGCACAACTAGCCGTATATGAGCCCCTAAGTATTTTAGAAACGCAAGAAAATAAACAAGACAGGTGAGCTGTTATCCCATAAAGTATGAAAAATCACAACCAGGAACATCAGCAGTAGAGCCAAACCCCTTAGTGAGAGTCCTTGAGTTAGGGGCAGCAGCCCCAATGGAGTCTGAAAGAGAACATAAGGTTCTTTAAAAAAAAATTAACTGTGTATGTGTTCACTATGAGAATCAGCCAGTCTTAGCAATAATAGGAAATCAGCAGAAAGCCTTGAGGCTATGGAGATACTCGGGACAAACTGGAAACTGACAAGCTCAAGTTACAAACGTATTTATTTTTAATTATGTTTATTACAATTTTAACACCACAACAAAATATTTTTGTCTATTTGACATAAGATTCCTCCCTTCCTTCCCCTGAAGTTCTAGATAGCCACTACTGGCTTAATGGTAGCTGAGGCTCTAGAGATCCCCTGCTGTAAGAGGCTAGTACTTCCTTGGATGAAAAACTGCCATGACATGTTTAGCCTGTAGCCTTCTTGCAGAAAAGCTTATACAAATGAAGTGTGGCGTGGAATATTGCCGTGCTTCATTTGCATAATGAATTAGCAGCCGCTTTTGTGCAAGAGGTTTTTGCGCAAAAAGGAGCTGTGTAGAAGGCTCCTTTTTGTGAAAAAAGGCCGTCTTGCACAAGAGCCATTCTTCATTTTTTTCAGGAAGAACGGTTCTTGCGCAATAGGGTGGTTTTTTTTGCAAAAAGGAACTGTCTACACAGGTCCTGTTTGCGCAAAAGCGGCTGCTAATTTGCTCCTCTTCATTTGCATAAGCTTTTCTGCAAGAAGGCTACAGTGTAGCTGACCAGTGGCCACTAAAATATGCCTCTGTTCCCGAATAAGAGTACTACTGCATGACGCAACAGAGTTGCAATAAATGGTGAGAACTGGCAAAGTTAGTTAGTTTTCTGAAAGCTTCAGCTCATAAAGTCAGGTGATTATGCTAGAAACTCAGCTCTTCCTATTTTGAAAGTAGGTTTCTAGCTCTCACAGATGGAAAGAAAACTTGAGCCTGTGAAACTTAGAGGCTAAAACAAACAAACAAGCAAACTATCAAATTGCACACACAACTTTAGGAGGCAACTAAAGAGAACCCCATCTTAGTTGGCTACAAAAAAAGGTAGGGGAGCTTATTTCGGAATGACTGCAACTGGCAGTGCTGTATACTGCTCTGGCAGTGATTAAGGTCTTCAACAGTCTCTCTTTTTGACTGACCACCCAGTGCCCCCTTTCTGTCTAAGAATTCCAGTATGGAGCTCATCCAATAAGAAGAAAGGGGCATATGGTGGACAGGGACAGAGCAGGCAGTCCTCTACCATCAACAAATCCCCTCAGGATCAGGGAGAAAAGAGTCCTAAAGAGACAGCAGAGGATCAAAACAACATTACAGGAGTTAAGGGGCAGAATCCCTCTCCACATCACTTTATATAAAGCTACTAATAGTAAGAAAGACCCTCAGTCCCAAAGCACAAGGTAATTTTGAACAGATAAGACAATTGTCATCTCTCTCCCCAGGAGCCACACAAGAAACCCGCGTCTGCCTATTGGAATAATTCTCAGTCTTGGCAGCCCAACAGGGGTGCGTATGTGGAAGGTGGAGAGAGGGACAAAGGTCAAGTTAGGCAGAATAGAGTATAGAAGGCTCATTTACATGAGATCCTCAACACCCAATGAACTGGTCTGTAAACCCCAGCCACAAATCCCTGGGGCTTTCTGCTGTTTTGATTTATTTGGCTTTTGAAAGTCATCCAACCTTTCTTCAAAAGACACTGTCCTGTGTTTCATGGCCTGGAGCATAAGGCCAAGTACATTCTTGGCTGCATAAGGTCCAAATAGATTAGTTCAAACAGTTTTCCTGAGGCAGTACTTGTATGTTCATGCCGGTACATTTCATTGCCCCCAGTGCACAGAGACTGACCATCCTTTTCCTACTTGTGGATCCCACTTGGATGCAGTAAAGCTGGCTTTCAGCTTTTGGACACTCGTATGGAATCAAGCAGAAGCACCGTGACTCTGACTCTGTAAACAGACAGGTTTCAGTTTTAGCTGCAAATCCCAGCAAATACATGTGTCTATATACGTGTGTATTTTAAAAAGCTAGGCAATATTTAAAAACTAGAAAGGGACAGTGAAATTGCGGGTTGACAATGTGACCATTCCAGACAGCCTTGTGCACATAAAAGGATATTAATGGGAATAGCCACATCAGTAGTTTTAAGCAGGTATTTTCACAGCATTGGTTCATTTAAGGGCAACTGGGATCAAAAGTAAAATGTCAAAACTAGCTGATTCATTGGTTTGTCTGACCAGTTTTTTCTGCCCATGGATCTTTTGAACAAAGACACTATGTTAACTGTATGCTTCCACAATGAGGAATCCTGGGACATCTGATGAAGTGGGTTCCAGCCACAAAAGCTTATACCCAAATAAATCTGTTAGTCTTTAGGGTACCACAGGTTTTGCTGAAACAGACTAACACAGCTTGTGTGCTTCTGCTGTCTACTCATATTTCATTAATCCTCCTTTTATGTATTGTAGGCTCTCTGCTACTGGCATGTGGGTGACTGATTTCATTACTCATTTTTAACAGGAACATCTTCTAATTTCTGACATTCTATCCCAGAAATTTTCCTTCTAAGTAAATGTTTCTCCCTTTCCCTTTTATCTATTTGCATTTTATGTTTCCATATATTATTTTCAAAATTTCTGTGTCTGCAGTGACTCCCAACACTCAGCTTCAGGAGCTCTCCTTCAGTCCTAAGTCTATTTTGCATGAGTAACACTTACCAACATGAAGGTTAAGTTACAACTATTATTCAAATACTAGTGGAATGAAAGAGGTGCACTATCATGGAGGCCTAGCATATTCTTAGGGATTTCAATGAAAATATCTGTTTTAATGGCTCTGTGGCACCGACAAGCCAAACTGGTTTGAAAACATGGAGAACTAAGCTGTGTAGGAAATAGGTATAAAAGCTTTGAATATCAGAATATTTCCCTATCTCTGGAAAACATCTGGAAAACATGGAGGTTTTCTGCCTATGCACATCTATCCTATTACCCCAAATCAGATGGTCAGCCAAATCTATTCTGTATGAATTTATTATGAAGAAATGATGGGCTGTCATAGCTGAATAGGACTTTTCCATAGTTTGCTTCTATGATATTACTGAATATTCTCCTTTTGCCAACAAGCTGATCTCTCTGCTCTTTATGTGATACAAAATCTGAGGTTTTCTTCTTTGCTCCATCTTCCTCATATTTCATCCTTTTCTTCTCTCTACCCCCTCCCAGAACCCTTTCCTCTGCTCCCAGTATTCTCAGCCTTGCTTGGTGATCTTCCTCACTATACGAAGCACTTTTTTTGGCAGGCCCCACATTTCCAAGGTTCAGCTTCTCTCTGGGTAAGCTTGCACAGCCCATAGCACTGTATCCTCCTAACCTCTGTTTGCAGTGCAGACGTACCCATACAATGGATCGGACTCCAGTTTCTTTTTATAAGACTTTTTGTAAATGCAAAGTAGCTACATCACAATAATGAAATTACTCTAAATTTACATCAGTGGGATTGAGATTATGCTTTGGCCCAATAATTCTCAGTCCCCCTGATACTTCTGTTCCCTCACCCGACCCCAAACTCACCACTGCACCGTCACTTTTTGTGTTCAGATTGTAAAGGGCAGCTTCCACCCTGCCATGTGGGAAGAAGAGTTCACAGCTGATTTAAGAGCAGCTGAAGTCCTGTACCCAGAGACATGACTCTCCAGGGAAGACATATGAATGTGGTTTTACATTTTGAAAATCTAGAACTTTTGTAACAGTGAGGAAAGCCCAATTAGGCACTGTCTTGGATCCACTGGAAACAAACATTTTGATTAAATGTGTTTCTTTTCCAGCCTTTTCCTCGATCTTTCAGGGTGCAAGGCTGTGCTGGACCTCAAAGGGCAGGTCTATTCTAGACCCAGAAGATCAGCTAAAGGTACATAACTCCAGCTATGTCAATATGTCATAGCTGGAGTCAACATACCTTGGTGCCATCTCCACAGCAGGGGGGGTTGACGGGAGCAAACACTCCTGCCGACTTCCCTTACTCCTGGAAAATTGAGGAGTGCCAGAGTGGACCAGAGCACTGTCAGCACCTTCAGAACCTTGAGTGAGTTCTTACCAGACTGGCTAAATCGTATGCCAGAAGATCGATCCCCTGTGCAATAATATAGATGTGGCCAAAGAGATGCAGCACATAGTTTATAGGCTAGGAATAAGGCATGCTATGGGGGCATTAACACACCTCTGTGCCCTTCTGGTCTCGGGCTACTCTGAGGAATGGAGAGATACCTGTAGTAACTTAGACAGTCATGGGGGGCTGTCTAAATTATAGCAGCTTCTCTGGGCCACCTCTGCAGAGCTTCATGCTACAGCCTCACCCTGACACACACAGTGTAGTACTTCCCCTATGCTGACGTTTGCAAGAGGGTGCTCAGAAGGCAGCCTCCCAGCTATCCCATCTCTCCCCATAGCAAATATAGGATTCTGGGGTCTCCATTCTGCCCTCACGTAATTTGACGCTTCATAAAGGGACTGGAGCACCTGGACTCTGAAAGTGAGTGGAGGAATAAATGTGGCTGCCACCCATCTCTTTCCTGGCAAGGCTGCTCTGTGTGTTGTGTCAGCCAACAAACATTTCACAAATTTACTGGAAAACCCACCACTTCTATCGCCCTGTTACTCAGTAAATAGCAGAGTTGCACAATAATGTTTGTACACTAATCCTCACAGGGATTTCACAACAAACTCTGTCTGAGTTCATTAGAGCTCTTAACAAACATGGATTTCACACAAGTTATTTTTAAATTATACCACTAAGAAGCAATTATGTGAAACAACAATACAAGCATGAGTAAGAGAGACATTGCTGCCTAAACCTTTGCCACTCAGTAGTACAATGATTTAAATGTAGTCATTTTGAAAGACTATGTAATAATGCTTACATGCATAAACACAACACTAAATAGAGGTTATGCTGTCATCAGAACAAACGGGATCATATTGATGGCTTGATTTCCATGATTAAAGCTACAGGTCAAATTCCGGAGGTTATCTTGTACCCATGTTGCTGGAACAACTTTTATAGTGGGGGTGCTGAGAGCCGTTGAACCAAACTGAAGGACTGGTATATTATAAAAACCACTTCAAGCCAGGGGCTGCTGCAGCACCCCTAGATACAGCATCTTTGTTTGTACCCTGTTTGGTGTTCAATGAAAAATGAATTTAGTGAGCTTAGTTTGAGGTGCATGCATGCAAGTATGTGCACACGCACACCCTGTCCCTTCTTTCTGCCCCCATCAGCATGTATGACACTGGGCCAGAGTATGATCTTAGTTTGACATAAGTAAATCCAGAATAACTCTAGTGATTACTGGTTTCTTTCAGAGAGTGTGGCATAATCTCAGGCTATACTCTGTGGGGGGTGGGGGTATGTAGATTGTAGTACCTCAAAAGCTTAGAATATGGCAAATGGAGCCAAGACAATTATTCTGGATTACACTGTAATAACAGAATGGGGCCCAATGTGTATGTACTGAAATATATCGATAAACATTACCGTCACTGTTTGTAACTGAAAATACATAGTACAGTAGTTAAAATGTTTTCATTAAGAAGAACAAGGGACAGGATTCCCTCTGACCTGCAACTTGTGCAGCCATTCACAATGCCAAATGAGTGCAAAATAAAGAGAATGGTAATGTTTTACTTCCACTCTGCATTGGTTTAAGTGACCACACAAATTGCAGAATTATGAGAGAATTATGCCTTAAATGTCTAGGTTATACAGCACCCTTCAATGTGTATCTGACCACAACTAGAAAGGAGTGAATTTGCTAACCTTTTATTGTTGAAGACCCAAGCTTATACTTAGTTTAGGGATGCAGGGAAATAAACATGGCCAAATGTAGCTGTATCTTCTGCTAGTGTTCTGATTCTTACCTCACTGATCCTTTGTGATGCTTGAATACAAGGTGCTGGGTAAATAATAAATACTTACACTTTCCAAACCATTCGACCTAGCTGTATTCAATGTTCAGAGCCTTGTAGTCTTTAATCACACAGGAACAGATCCTGTTCCTCCATCCTCTCCTTTGTTGTGGTAGCACAAAGGGGCTGGAAAACTGAGTCAGCTTGGGAGTCTCCTGGTATGGGTTGGGGGTTCCCAAATGGCATACAGATGATGTGGTCCCTGCAATTGTGGCAATTGCTGAGGAACAGACCTGAGGCTGCTCTAACTCATGTTATGCACAGAAAGTCACTGTGCCTCCCTCCTCTTCTCCCCTAGAAGTGGCTTAGATGCACCAGGATGCCTAATCTCACTCCCAGAGCAGTGAAGTACAAGAATTAAATGAAGCACAATCATACCTAAGCATTTTTCCCAGTCGTAGCATGTGTCATATCCACACAGCCCTTTCTTTGAGCTACTTGTTGAAAGCTTTGCCCTTTCAATGGCCCAGTTCAGGTTGGTGTCACCACGACAGGGGCCAGAGTGCAAGAAATGGAGCGGCTGCTCTTCAAGGCATTTTTCAGCTAAAAATTGACAGCTGGGCTTCGTAGAGGGACTTTCAGAAACAGCATCTAACACACAGACATCTTCAGAGTAGTGGCTGCCAAGAGACAAAAACCAAAAATGTTACAGGAGACTAGCCCTGCCTAGAACTCCAGCACTGGACAATCCTTCCTCTTTTAAGTGTCTCCATGCCAGTCCACCACACAGACATATATCTTGCAAATAATTAGATGATAAAAAATTCTTCAAGATAACAATTTGTTCCCATGGTGCCTCTGGGGCCTGAGCAGCTCATACTGTGTAAACAGTGTTTCTTTCTAAAAATAAATCAGACGTGTGCTTGGCTTACTGTAAGCCTGGTGCTCAATTCTATGCTTTTTGTGGTATGATATTGTTCCAAAAATTAAAGATTAGGTCTAGAGTTCAGGGGAATCCATTTTTTTCCCATTTCATTTCTAAAGTGGCTCGTTGTCCCCACTTCCCCCAGCTTCTCCGCCCCCGAGTCAATGTCACACACAGTGGGTTAATGCAATTGCAGGATAGTTGCATGAGGGGGGTTTGATGGGGGCCAAACTAATCCCTATTGGTAGGAGGATGGTGGAAAAAGTCCTTAGAGAGGTGACTTTACTTCTGGTCATGTGTCCATCAGAGAAAACATTAAGAACATTCCCACTTCGTCATAACAGGTACAACAAAATATAATATAATATATTTAATGCACAATGGAATCCACAATGGGTTTGTTCCATATTCAAAAGAGTATTAATAACTTTGATATTCTAAGTTAAATAATTTTTTCTTACGATACTGAAATTGTACAATACAGGCAGTCCCCGGGTTACGTACAAGATAGGGACTGTAGGTTTGTTCTTAAGTTGAATTTGTATGTAAGTCGGAACTGGTACATATTGTAGGGGAAACTCTAGCCAAACATTTCTCCAGAGCTCAGTTTTATTCTCCCACACCTCACTTCCCTCAGTCCTTTATTCTCAAGTGGAGGTGTCTGCTGAGAAAAGCCGCCCCGCGTCTCCCTAGTCTGCTGGGGGTTGGGGGGGCACTAGCTTCGAGTCTCCCTGGTCTGCTGGGGGGAAGCAGCTAGTGTGGAGTTGCCTCACCCCGTTTGTAAGTAGGGATCCAATGTAAGTCGGATCCATGTAACCCGGGGACTGCCTGTATAGGGAAACTGTTAAACGCTTACGGTGTTCAGTCCATTTTTACATTATTTAATAAAATATATATCGCTTACAGGGCGGGTAGGTGGGAGGGTACTAGACCCATTCTGGGCACCACCAAAAATTATACAAACCTGCCGCCCCCGTCTGCAGAAACATAACTGCTAGCTTATGGATTTTATAGGCTATGATAATGGCTGTATCTTGGACACAGTGTTGAGGCTGTTTTGTGTATATCTGGAACAGACAGCAAGAATGCTATGGTCATTCTCATTCTTATCTTTCCCTGCTGCTTCATCTACACCATGAACCCCTCCACCATAGAATGACTGTGGTTTTATAGTGAAGTGTATACCTTACCCACAATCTTCTACTGGAGACATGCAAACGCATTGAGAACCAACTTGTTTTTGGCCTGGGCTGCAGTTACCTCTAGCTTTTGTTTGCTCATCTGAAAGAGAAATTAGGCATTGTCAGAGCTACTCCCTGAAAGAACTGATAAAAGATGAACATAAACTAGAATTCTGCTGTCAAACCAGGAGTGGGTTTATTTTAATTTAGCCTAGCCTCCCATAACAAGGTGATGGGTATTGTTCTTCAGCTAGCAGGGACACTCAGGTCTAATTCCAATATTGTAGAACAATGCAAGTATGAATGGAAACCAGGACACAAAGGACAGAATTTTAAAAAGAATAGCAAGGTCAAGTTGTACAGTGGGTGGCAGCCAAAAGTGTATTCTTTCCTTGAGCTGAAATATTACTTAAATTGTGGTGTCATTTTTCCTGGCTGTTATCATCTATTGGCTTTTTTTTTTAAAAGTTATGGTTATTTTTGAATATATTTATTTACATTATTCTCATCATTATGGTATTTTTGCAGAACTACAGATGTTAACATGAATGATGGTTGCCAATAACTGGTACAAACTTAACTGTCTCTCACTATTGAGCTGACAAAGAAAGAAAAAGCTGGACTGAAAAAGCATGTCTTGCACTAACACACAAAAATCCTCCAACTCAGAGTCCGATGGACTGTAAGATTCAGCAAATTTTGAAATGAATGAAAGACTGCCCTACTGATAATGCCCTGTTGCCTATATCCCGGACATCCCTTCTGGAGAGGTACAAAGAAGTGCACTTCAATGGAACCCAGCTGGCATGAAAAATAGTAAAGGCAGTCTTCAAGATTGCTCTTCAGTAAAGCCCAAGGTAAAGAGCACAGTACAACAGTCTGGCGTGACGGTGTTATGAGCTCCGAGGATGGAGCTCACAACACAAGTTGATTCAATGTGAAGAAGGTTTTGAAGGCTTGCTTCACGAACTTGGTAATATATGAAATAGATTAGATAATACTAATGAAGTAGGTTAGAAAATATCAATGAAACTATCACATGATACCAAGGACCCCAGTCTCTAATCTGCTTTTATGAGCAAGCTAATGGAAGAGGTAGCCAAAACCAGTGTCAACTGCCAGTAACCTGGACTCATCTCACTTGCAAGCCAGAGAATGCACTGCTCTGGTGGATGATTTCCTCTTTTCCACAGAAACACTTCACATATCTTTGTGACATTTGATGTGGGTGATCACCCACTGTACAGCCTCCAAAAAGTTGCAACAGTGAACCCCAAAATGGCACAAGTTCTTCCTCTCATCAAAAGCAGAGGGTCATAATGGAGAACTGTTCCTGCACTTCCTAAAACTGCATGTGTAGAGTCTGACAAGGGGGAATCAATCTATAGGAAGCTTCGGGCACAGCTGGTAAGATAACACAAGCTGAAGTTTCAGCAGCATGCAAGTGACACCCATGATCCCACCCTATGTTCTACAATAAAAATAGACTAGCCACAGTCAGGGCAGGAATTCTCACCTTTTTCACAGGTAAGTGATCTCAGTATAGGAGGTGTCCATGATACGTCACTCCCACAAGTGTACTGCTTTGCACCAGTGACAATGAAGCCAGCTGGGCAGTGCAGCTGGATGGTTTCCCCGACCTTGTATTCATTTTTAAATGGGGAGATTGTGACACTCTCAGATACTGATGGCTTGGAACACATTGACCCTATAAGAAAGAAAGAATTCAAATAAGTATGCCACATTATAACAACAACCCTGGTAATTAAAGTGGGTAAAATGAATCTATTTAATAAATCTTATGACATTTTCACAATAGTGAAATAATCTTTCATTTGATTTTCTAAAATTTGACTTTTTTTCCTTTATCCATTTTTGAGTTTTGAAAAATTTTGACCTGTTCTCATGGTAACATTCCATATACATTTGCCTATCAGTTACTGAAAAGGAATAATAAAATGTTTATAAAGTATACTGGTGGCAGTCAGTTAAAAGTATTCCTAATGGCTTATTAAAAGTTGTAGAATGCTGGTCAGCATGTTACAAAAACAGGGAAATAGAGATGCTTACCAAATTATTTACAATAGGCTACTGTTAAATAAATTATTAATGAAGTGACTAGTGGTATAAAGGTTGTAAATATATTCAATAAGAAATTCATTCTGAAATATACAACCTGAAGATTCAAATGCAAATGTCTTGGGTCCTTGCTGACTATCTGAATCTCTCTCATTGAGAGATTCAGAATAAGTTTTACCTGTATGTGTCAATTGGATTTTTAGTACATCAGAGCATGGACTTTTTGGCTGAGATTTCCAAAGAGGTTTCTAAAAGATTTACTTGTACCTTTCCCATTAATTTCTATGGAAGATATCTAAAGCCATTGGATTGCTTTGGAAATCTTACTCTCGGTAACTTGTGTGTCTGTTCAATGCTGAGAATGCTAGTTTGTTCAATCTGACTGTCATAAATTTACAGCTCACTTGGATAGGTCTGGAAGCGAAATGCAAATACCATTGCTGAAGACATTGCAAAACAGTCTAGAAAAGGAACTAGAAAATTTCTGTTGTCAGGTTTTCTATAGTTCCCGGCAGGATAGAATCCTATTGTTTATAGAATATATTGTAGGAATACTCCTGAATTGCAAGGGAACAAATATGATGACAAATATAGTCTTTGCCATCTCTTGCTTCTATCAATTATTAATTTCTTCTTAAGACATATATATGCAATAGAGTGGTTTTATAGCCTCCTCTAGAGTTTTGTTGTTGAGCCTAACTGTTCTTGGCTTTCTTACTTTGGCACTCAACATTCTGCTGTGCCCAGGTGTGATCTGGTAGACACCTGAGGAACTGATAGCCAATGAGATCATATCCCGTCATGCAGGCAATTTCAGCTTCTTCCCCAACGGCATAATGGTTTTTTTCATTCTACAATTAAACAAAATCCTTTGTAAGTGGAATAGTCACTGACATGAAACAGATGGCTCTGGACCTTACTACCACAATTGTCATAATTTTCTTTTCCTTCTCTGAAGAGAGAGCTATGCATCTTATATGTCTGTCCATCCAGCTACTAATATTGTCATGTATTCTCATCACTAGTATTAACACACAGATTACAAAACTAGTGTTCACAAATAATGCTGAGTGAAGTTGGACATATATCCTTCACTCATCCTTTGCTTTTGTTTTTGCTGAGATCTTTGACAGATCTGTAAGGGTCTACACGCGGCAGAGAAATGGGATTCCGATTTAAAGGCAGTATGATTACACACCAGGTTATACAAGATAGAGTAGATTTATCTCTATGTTCATGTTCTGGCAAAAGGTCTACTCAAGACACTGTTCGACAACATAAAATATTGATTCCAGACATTTTAAAAAATGTAGTGCTGCATATGTATGATTTTGTACTACCAATTTGAGGCTCATACATGGGCATGTATAAGCATCTCAGCAACAGGACTACCTTTGTCTTTTAAATATGTCACAATTTTGTTCTATATAGTAGATTTGTTTATTCAATCTCTTCTGCTAAGCTTCAAAGATGGAGGAAATAGTAAGTTCTCACAAATTACTCCAACACGTGACTGACTGTATGTTGTTCCTTGTCCTATCGCATCCACATAGTCAAAATCCAAAAAAGTCCAAAGTGAAAATGAAATATAAATTCAGTGTTTGAGAGACAGACAAAAAGGATGTTAGGAGCAGAAAAGAAAACAACCAATGAAAACGATATGGAAAAAAACCCCAGAGGGAACCCCCGGCCCTCCAAATACAGAAGATTTGGGAGAGAGGGGAAAGGAGTAAAGTTGATAAAAAACAAAATTTAAATTTAAAAAATCCCTATTTAAAAGTGCACCCACTAACACCAGCCGAGCTTTTGTGATATTTTTCTACCCCCAACTATAGTACCTAAAAGTAGCTTCTAATCAGTTAGAAAAATGTGTTTATCAAATAAAGTGGACCCATGTTGTTCATGCTGGTGTCATACACCAATATTTGGATGCAATGAGAGGAAATAAAGTTTTGCAAAATGTGCATCAGTTTTTGTAACGCAACAAGGAGTCTGTGAGGCTTGTCAAACCTGGAGCTTCTTGCAGCTCTCCATCCCTGCACATCACGCCTTATCCTGGACCTTACAACCTTCTCACCCTGAGAAATCCGTTTTCTGGTGGGGATGGCTTGAGACAGCCAGACTCTGGTTCACCAATGAAAACGTCCACTTCCTTTCTTGCTTCATCATCATTTATACATGGAGCTCCTCTGAAAAATAGGAGTTTGTAGTTAAGGATGCAAACAAAGGAGTTGTTAAAATAGTTTGAAACATTATGGAAAGTTCTCACATGAGCCAAAGGGGTGGTGAGTGGCGGGGAAGAAGCTGACAGAAACAGGCGTACTGCTCCCTCAAACCAGAGAAGGCAAGGGGGAACAAGGCTTTCTTTTCCTCCCCCTGCTGTAACTCACTGAAA